TTTAGGAGAAAGATTTAAAAAATTATTACTGTGATTTATGTCAATGAGTGTTCTGCCTATGTTTTCCTGTAGGAATTTCATAGTATCCAGCCTTACATTTAGGTTTCTGATCCATTTTGAGTTTATTGTTTTGTATATGGTGTTAAAGAATGTTCTAATTTCATTCTTATACATGTAGCTGCCCAGTTTTCCCAGCACCACTTACTGAAGACTGTTTTTTCAATATTGGAATTTTTATGGAGAGTTTATAAAGCTGGCAAAGTAGGAAAGTACCTCAGGAAGGAACATGTTCTTAAATTCCCAAGTTTGGAGTTTGTGAATAAATAGCTATTTGAAAAGACTAATTGACTAAATAAATAAGAATAAGCATATAAATTAAAACTTAAAAAGGGAGGGAACCTATATAGTTATAAAAGATTTAAGAAACATATTCATGTGCAATGTATGATTCAAACAAACCAGTTTTTTTTTAACTAATGAGATGCAGGAAATTTGACAATGATAGCAATTTGATATTAAGGAATTTTTATCATTTCTATAATAGTTTATGTATAATAGGTTATGTATTAAAAGTCACTTCACTTTCAGAGATACAATATTAAAATATTTACAGATGAAACTACATGATGTCTGAAATTTGCTTCAAATAATCCAGTAGTGGGAAGGAGTGATAAGTGGGGTTACAGATGAAATAAGATTAACCATGGCTTGATAGTTATCAGAGCCAGATGATAGCTGTATGGGAATCAATTATAGTATTCCTTCTACTTTTATATTTGTTTGAAATTTTCCATAAAGTAAAAAGTTTAAAAAAAAGAATTGAAAGGCTCTGTTTACCACTTGTAATGCTTGACTTTATTATACTAGATTAGAATTTGAGAAACAGAAAACTCGGCTTAATATTCAACTTGAATATAGTCGCAGTCATCTAAAGAAGAAACTGAATAAGATTAACACATTAAAAGAAACTATCCAGAAAGGTAGAGAAGACATTGATAACCTAAAGAAGGTAATTATTGATGGGTGGCTAAAGTGTCATCAAAATGATGGCTTTCTTCAGTGAATAAACATTTGTTTTGAGCTCCTGAAATGTCCTAATAGTCTTAAGAAGTTGGGAGGAGAGGCGGGGGCACGTAGATTTGAGAAATACTTGAAGTAAATTCACACAGCTTCATGAATTATTATGTGAAGGGGGCATGCCATGGATGACTCCTGCATTCTAACCAGGAGAGGGGTGGATAGGAGGAGCGATTAAGGAGAGAAAATTCGGGACCTGCGGAGGTTGACTTTCCTACGTGGCATCCAGACAGCAACTTCCAGCAGGGAGTTAGAGAGTAGGTAGGTAAGAGGAGTCTAGTCTGGTTTGTGGGAGTAGGTTGAAGACAGTATTTGAATGTCTGGGACTCCCAAGCAGAGAGGTAGGCAGTGAGGAGCAGTGGAGCAAGGATCGATTCTGGAAGGAGTGTTCACAGGTTAGGAAGAGAGCCAGAAGGGGTGGTGTTACAGAAGCCCTCAAGAGTGAGGAAAAGGAAGTGGAGAAAGTTGTCAAAAAGTCAAGCCAGGAAAATGTCTGTTTAATTGCCAATTCAGAGGACTTGGTAAGTAGCAAAAATTCTTTCACAGGACAGAGAACAG